GAAGTTGTCAAAACTCTCGAAAAGATTAATGCACCGTCATGAAAATAATTTTGTAAAATGGTGGGTGTGTTTATTTACAAAAGAATATCACAATGTTTGATCAACATTATCCTTCAGTGATTCAAAAACAACTTGACAAATAAGTTCTCCTCGTGATACAAGAAGGAATGCTGATTATCTGTTTATATTTGTTGATATGCTTCACTTGGTAAATCCTCAATAACTGTTGTATGATAAAAAATACTGATTTGACCACATTCCAAAACCTCGGAAATTCTTCAGCAGTCTGGCCTATCACAGTCTGATATAGCAGTGCTGATTTATTTCATCTGTTTCTCTGTTTAATCGTCCATTAACATGATTAGAAAAAATTTAATGGGCATATAGATCCTTTCTTTATCATCAATATCTCAGCATCTACTGGGGGGGAATGTATACCATCAAATTCCTTTCACTCTGAATTCAAAATACTCACTTAAATAGCAGTTTTGAAAACCATCTCTACTTGATCAATCAATGGATGCAGAAATATACCCATTTTTTTTTTTGGGGGGGGGGGGTGTACTTTAATTAATTCTAGATTAGCACCTCTTTTAGAAATTTACCTGTACATAATCATGATAAAGGATGATAATATTAAGCTGGAGTACCTTAATAATTATTTCACACTGACTAGACAACTTGTGGGTTTGTGACCCCAGAGACAACAATGTCAGGAATTTGTAACTGAACCTCAGAACATTGATATGGGTATACATAATGAATGGTAAATGAACCAGCTAAGAACAGTCCTAATTACTAGATTGTCAAGGATTACACAAGAATGATACAGAGCTCTCCAATTGTTGTACAGAAAAATGGGACATAAGATCGACCTCCCTTTGGTGTAATGAAGCATTATGGATAACATAATCCCTGCACGTAAACTTACTGACATGCACTAAATGTTGAAAAATACACTCAGTTAATTCTTGTCAGGTATCTTTAAAAATATGTATCGCAACACTTGACATAACAATTGTAACACTGTCTGTACTCAAAATTGTCTCCCTTCATAATTAAGTAAAACATGGCATTATACATAGAATATACTGTGCAATCTGTGCTTATATATTGTATATGTAAATATACATAAAATCAATTATAATTACATTATATTTGTCTTAATTAAATAATAAACTGATTAAAACTACCAGTAATTGTATACGTTTCCAGTCAAATCTTCACAAAAAACCAAATCGTAATGAATTTAAAATTGTACACCACTATTGTGAGTGGTTACATAGCTGCAGATCTGTGGCCTGCTGGTCTAAAAAAATTGGGATGGAGAATCGAGAAAAGTGCATTTTTTGTGCGCAATAAACATTTACTTTTTCAATGGGTGGCACTGTAGCTCTCTGGTGGTCCATCCCAATTTTTTCAGACCAGTGAGCTACAGATCTGCAGCTAGTGGTTACAGTCTTATCCACTTTGTATCCACATTTAAATGCATCATCCTCATGATTATGTAAGTCTTAAGTTATCCACCATTTTGAATATTAAATGATTCCATTGTGTCTTTTTTCTAGATGTCATTGTCTTCTTTTCACTTCTTTTCACTTTTTATAATTAAAACATTTTTTCATTGTTAAAACCACAACAAGCTTACACTTATCGTGTTTATCCATCTTCCAAATTCACTTGATATATATCCACTTTTTAATCCAAAACACACTTAGTGTCTTATCCACATCATAGAATTACACTGTCATATCCACATTTATTATCCACTGAGTATCCACATCACAGAATTACAGTCTTATCCTCTTTGTATCCACATTTATTCTCCTGTGATCTATATAGAGTCAATCCAGGAGAACTTACAAACAAAACTTATCCACATCCATCCTCACAGGTATTGTGTCAATTGTTAATGTCATATATTAATTCTGGGTCAATAGAAAGGCATCACAATATACATTACCATATATGATTACTTATACATCACATGTTTACTCCTTTTTCTAGTGGATATCACTCTTTTAGTAATTTTTTCACATATCCTAATTTGTATAATTTGCAGTCTGGGGTCTTGTGATGTCATATAAACAAATATGTGTGATGAGGAGATTGTAGCTCTACTGGTTTGTACCAATTTTGTACCAGGACATATAACATTTTTCATTTTTTTTAAATTACAGAATAGTGTATCCTGATGTTTTCTAAAATCTTCTAGTTTTTTTTTTTGTTTGTTTGTTTTGTTTTGTTTTGTAAGATGCAATATTCACAAAAAGTGAATGGGATTGGGCAGCAGACACAGACTATTTTAGCCCTCTTCCTCTACCAGTTTTTATTGAAAAGAAAGAAAAATACAATAGAAGTAGCATTTTTTATGCATTAGTAAATCACCCCCCCCCCCCAAAAAAAAAAATACTGTAGGAGGACTAGTGTTAATTCTGAAAGACATGATATAAGAATATAGCATGATGTATTGCACTTTTAAAATAATACAAAACTTTATCTACAACATGAAGTCATTTTCCCCATATATATACATTCTGTTCCTATAACAGACACATACATGTACTACAGTGCTAAGTTAGTGTATAAATATATATTTATCCTAAGGTCAAAAATTCTTGTGTCCTGTGGTTTTGCTTTAGCTATAAATTCCCAAGATTCTTCCTGTTGAATTCCAGAGATTTTCATATTAATGTGTTTAGCTAATTTTAACACATAATCACAGACAAGTTAATGAACTTATTATTTTAATGGGTAAATAAATTAATGCCTAATTTAGACTAAATCAACAATTATTTTTCCCCTTAATTAACAACTCACCAATCACTACTTCGTAAATTATAATTTACTTTTCTTCCAAAAATAAAATATGAGGCCAACAATAAAAATTTATTTGTTTGTTGTACTCAACAACCTATCAAAATTGCCCCTACCTGAGCAATCTGCTTCTAAATCAGTTCTTTAATTTTAAAAATATTTTTTTGTTTCTGGGAAAATACATATCATATAACTTAATAACTTAAATTAGGTTCCATATACAGTTGAACTTCCGTATCTCAAACACTGATATCTCGAATACCATGGATACGTCAAAGTAATTTTGAAGTTCCAACCACTTATTCTTTAAGTATTTTACCCTTGATGTCTCAAATCCTCAGATATCTTTTCTCGGTCCCATCGAGTTTGACATAATGAGGTTTGACTGTATTTTTGGGGTCTTGTTTTATTTACAAGCACCTGAACTCTGTCGATGAAGGTAAGAATCTTGGAGAAATAAATGTGTAACTCTGTAATTTATAACATTTATAATTCTGTTAGATACCCTCCCCCCCCCCCCCAAAAAAAAATAAATCAATAAATAAAAACCTACCTATTTACCCACATTGAAAAATATGGGTCGGAATACATCAAAAAATAGTCTTGAAATATATATCTCAGCTTAAACACCCCCCCCCCCAATCTAATTCTAATTTTTCAGCAACAACACTAAAATCTTATTTTGGATCCAAGTCTTTTTGCACTTGAACACTTGACATTAAAATTTCATTAAGGCCTAAAAGAAAAAAAAAATTAGAATTTATTTATCAAATTCCTGGGTCTTTTTTCATTGCTTTTATTCCGTGTGATGAAATCCACACAATTACCTCAAAGGTTTTTAACACAACAAACAAAACACCCCAATACAAAGACTACTATCTTCTGGGGGGAAATTAGACCTCCAATTCCAGGCATTCTTACCCGATTACATTCCATTTAATAAGGAGAAATATTTAGCATTGCCTGATACCATCTTGATGTGAAATATCATTTCAGAAAAATAAATTATACAGACAAAAACCTTATTGTTACAGCAAAACCTAATTTACATTGCTCAGTGTAATTTTTAAAATCCAGATGTCAAAAGGTTATATCTTGTCAAAAGAATATTATTGATGTTCCACAAAGGACTGCACTGGGTTTAAGGTATTCTTCTATCATAAAGAAATACTGACTGTTACTCATTAAACCAGAGCAATTCACTGCAGACATGTCACTGTAGCCCAGGACAAAGGACCAGGAAACAGTCCAAGATTTAAAAGTCAAAATTTCTGTTTTTCATAAATGAACACTAATTAACATGATGCTTGAAAATATTAAAATTGGGAACATTAATGGAAACATTTTTTTTAAATAAGATTTTAAAGTTTTGTGTTTTCTATTTATGACAAAAAATTCTGTCTTAAGTTTAAAACTGCTTCTTGATCTTAAGTTGTTAATCCCAAGGTCAGAACAAGTCATTGCAATCTGAGTCACAAGTTCATTTATAAATACAGTATATAAAAAGTAAAGTTACAATTCTAGATGTCCATATCATTATATAGATGTATATGTTTTGTTCACTAGAACCAAACATAAGCTTACAGAAAAGAATACCCAGGTAAGTATAGGATTAAAAACAGGTTCCTAAACATGATTCAAACAGTGTCACATAAGGATATTCAGTTTTTCAATGATTAATAATCATAAAATCATTATGCTCCTTAAATCCATGCACGCAGCATACGCATCAAAATTGGTGATAAAGTAATTTTTTTCAAGAACCTGAACCAAATGTCTTACTTACATAAAAAAAGCAGATTAGGCCAACTTTAAAATAATGTTCATTTGCACTCTCTCGACTCAGGGTGAAAAAATTGGGTCAGTAGGTAGGTGAGTAATTTTTTTCTCAGAAAATTTCAATTTCAGAGCTGAATTTTCGAAATCTTTTTTCCAAAATGCATAAAAAAAAAAATAATTGCTTCCTGGAGTGGAGGTTAAATAAAGTTTTGAGTCGGGCCATTTTTAGCCAGTTGGTCGGGAGAGGACAACCAAACAATTTTTTGAAGATGGTCTTGAGGAATCACCTCGCTATAAATATATTAAGTTAGAAGACATTATGTCATCTGAATGTCATGAAAACTGTAAATAAGAAATATTCAATAATCCTTTAAATTCAAATGAGAAAAGGGTTGAATACCAACCTTTTTGATAATACTTAGAGTTGTGTGTCCATCGAAACCCGGTACACAGGCCAAAGTCTGTCAACTTGAGGTGGCCATCCTTATCTATCAGAATATTGTCTGGTTTGATGTCTCTGTGTATAAATCCCATCTTATGCACACTTTCAATGGCTAGCACTAATTCAGCGACATAGCACTGCGCTAAATCTTCCTTGAAAATTCCGAATTTGATTAGAAGTCCCATTAAATCCCCACCCGGTACATAATCCATCACAAAATAAAGGTTATCACGATCCTGAAAGGAATAGTATAACTTCACAACCCACTCATTGTCAGCTTCCGCTAAAATATCACGTTCGGCTTTCACATGAGCAACTTGGTTTCGTTTTAACACATCACTTTTCCGTAATGTTTTCATGGCATATAAATGACCTACATCTCTTTTCCTCACTAACGAAACTTCCCCAAATGCCCCAACCCCAAGAGTTTTGATCTTTTCAAACAGACCTCTTCTCATTTTGGCACGACGTAATCTGATATAGTTTGACTCTTTTTGATTTAACATTCTACGCATTTGTTGCTGAGCATCCTCTGAAAGACCTACTTTGTTCATCTCACGTTCTAACTGAAACCTCCTCGTCACCCGCTCCTTGCAAGCCTTTAAAACATTTTCCACATGCTGTTCCATGTAGAATTTGAAGGCTTGTGGTGAGTAGTTTTTTAATCGTCCCTCAGGGCGAAGTCTATCACAGTCCTTGAACTCATTTTTCCTCTCCGGCATAGGAGAGGTGCAGCGAGTTTTCTCTTGAGTACTACTCGCGTCTGACACAGTTGATAAGGTCTCGTCAGTTTCATCCTCCTTGTTTGCACCATTCCCAAGGTTACCATTTATATTCGGAGTCTGTTTATTGGGAGGGGGCGGTATTGGAGGAGGTCCAACCCCCACATTTGGCTTGGAGGTGGGAACAGGGGGAGGGGAGGCCTCCAAGTTTTCTGACACTTGGACTAAAGGCACACGGGGAGGAATGGGGGGTTGAGGGCTATCACTGTGATACACAGGGGGTGCCGTCGTATGAGGCACCTGTAGTGGAGTGAACCCCTGTGGAACATGAGGGGACATGGCCGTAATTTGGTGATGTAATTGTGGGGGAAGATGTGGATACTGGGAAGCAGTCTGGTTGTATTGCGGCACGGGTTGTAAAATTGGTTGAACCACCTGAACAGACCTCCCAGGGTAAGGAGGTGGTGGCTTGTCAGGAATATCAGAGTTCGTAGAAGGAGTAGAAGTGGTTGAATGAATGGACATGGGTGACTGATTCGTTGCTCTGGATGAGTTCGGAGAGTCTGATCTCGGTGTTGATGTGGGGGTATCAGATGCAGGACGATAATAAAGTCCATAGTGAACATTAGGGGCGAACTGGGGTGCACTTATGCGTGTTTGTATGCCCCGCTTTTGTCCTTGGCTCTGTAGATGTGCAGCGTACTGTTCTGGTGTCAACATCTGTGGAGACTGTCTAGTGATTTGGATCTGTATGTTGTTGGAGCCCTGTAGGTGTGTAGCTGAAGGAATCCCATTATTTGATGGATTAATTTGAGCCTGGTAAGACGATATGTAGCTTCCCGTCGTTGTCTGGGGGTTTTGTGGTGACTGGCCTGGACCAGTGGCCATTTGTAACATTGGTTTTGACACAGCCACACTTTCCACTGATTGCATCACAATCTGAGGTTGTTTTGCCCCCCATGTGTGCATTGGTTGGGGTTGTGAGGTCCCTATACTCTGTGGTTTAGGTAACTTTATTTGAACACTATTTAAATTGTTTCCAGAAATTTTCACTGTGGCGGGTGTGCTCGCCCGACTTTGGCTGTAAGGTGGGGGACATTTTATTGTGATATTCTGTCCATTAGCACTATTGATCACATTTGAAGGATAATGCACTGGGTGGCTCTTGGCATTCTGGATGATGACTGGCTGGCGGCCAACAGGACTCATTCCTCTCTGTGGCGTCACTGGACCACTTCCTGAAGACGATGGCGTTGATGGATTCTGGGATTGAGGAGGTGGTGGTGGGGTAGACTGAGCCACTTGAACCGTACTGAAAGCAATATACTGCTGGGGGTTAGTGGGGTTTGTCTTTAAAACCTGTCCCCCGGCTGGCTGGACCATCATAGGTGGAGCTTGAAGTCTCGCTGTGGTAGGAAGATTTCCTGTCATGGTGGTTTCCACGACAACTGTCTCTGTAGAAGAGGTGATGATTGGCGCTCGCGGAGGGACAGGAGGAGGAGTCTGATCCCCATTTACAGTGACACTGGGGGTGGATATGGGGGTTCCCTGCCTTGACGCAGGATTGACTTCATAGACAGGTGGCACCCGACTTGCGGCGGATGTCAGCGGTGAAGCGGTATCTGACCGCTGGTCCGATTCAGAGGGAGCCTTTCCGTACTTGGACTCAAAGCTTGGTTTTCTCTTGACAGGTTTTGAATAAGGATTTGCAACTACAAAGAAAACAAAAGGCAAAATTCATCATATTTTTGATATCTGAATTTTCTTTGTTATACTAAAGCACATTATGATAATTAAGGTACTGTAGCATAATTCTCATTTAAAAGCAAATACTACAAGTGAAAAAAGAAGTTTGTCTTGATATCTTTAATGATTAATTGTTGTTTTAATTTTTCTGTTCTTTGACACGTTGTACATGTTATACTTACTTGTTGTTTTCACTCCATTCTTTCCCTTTAGATCATTTAGTTTAGAAAGGCGGCTTGACAATTCCTGTGAGATAAATAATAAAACACCATATTATCTTTAATTCATTTTTGTGTGGGAGAATACAATTAAAAACTGAACAAAAATCTGACAATGTCAGGAAATTTCTCTGCACTATGCAAAAAAAACCTGCAGATTATAATGAAGACAAGCTGTCTAGAATCTCCCTAATTAATATTCAGGCTTTGTTCACACTTCAATACCTTTTATATATATATATATATATATATATATATATATATATATATATATATATATATATATGTAAATCCTTCAGCACCCTTTCCAATGCCTAAACAGTTTATTGCTAATAGATTTTTCCTTATAAAAATTCAGATTAGTTTCAAAAAGGAATAAAAGTTTATATAAAATAATACAGGTAATTCACACATTAAGATATTAATTCTGAATATCACATATTTTTATCATAATATTTATGGAAGATTACAGAGTTATAATAAAACTGTTGGCATATGTCTGTAAATATGAAGCCTTTTTACCCAAGCCTCAAAGATTCAAATGAACACTATGAATTAACTCTTATCAATAAATTGTCATAAATTATATTTCTTTCTGTCCGCTCAACACAATAAAAAAAATTATTCTTAACACATATGTATTATCATATATGGTTACGTGAGTCACTCCTTTTCTAGAAGCTATTTTATATATTTGAATAACCTAGGGCACAAAAGCTGGTTGAAGAATTAAATGTGTCACCCAGAATTAACAAGTTCTCGTTCATCACAAAAATGCCAAAGATTGTTTGCAAACTGATATACACCTGGGCCTGAAAACCATTGACATTGGAAAAAAGTTTATAAGGTGTTATAAAATTTCAACTCATCTAAAGATTTCCTCAGTTCTCTGCACTGAGATCAGAATAAGCAGTTAAAACAGTCATTCCTAAAGACCTCCAATATGACACCAGTACATTAAAAACTGCGTAAATTTATCCTTTAATTATAAATTGTGCTTTTTTGGGGGTCGTTTACATAGCAGCTGGAGTGTTGTATTATAGATGGCAGCGACAGATCAGTTTTGACATTTACAGCCAGGTCATTCTAGGTATTTTACTGAAGCAATTAGTTGCAATAATAAACGTTTTAAATATTAATCCCTTACGTACACACAACAGCAGTAATTTCTTTTCTCACCTCTGGCCCCTGTCCAATGTTATGTACAGAGAGGAATTTGCCCTAAGATACTTCAACTAATTACAACAGACCACATGTACCACATGTACATGTCCCTACATTTTTGTTCCTTCCGCAACTACTACTGGGATATTTAAAGATAAATGTTGTTCTCCATTTGACCATTAAGAAAACTAAATAAATGTGATACTGTTGATCAGAATTTTGAACTTCATCTCTCTCTCCCTCTCTTTCTCTCTCTCTTCCTCTCCCTTTCTCTTCTCTTTCTCTTCCTTTCTCTCTTCCTCTCTCTTTCTTTCTTTCTCTCTTCTTCACTCTTTTTCTCTCATAAAAACTTTAGAATCTGTTTTCATTTCTACAAAATGTCTGCATATGTCAATGTGTATTCTCTCTGTTTACGATTCTAAAAAAGTCCAGCTCCAATGATTTTGTCTTGTTTACTGATTTTAGATAGTGTATTCACAGATTTTCTGAGGACTAATACAATACCTACAGCTAGCTAGGAATCCCCACACACTGCATAACAAAAGGATTTAAAACTTCTCTAAGCTCCCCATTTAATGATGGCATTCATGTATATGCCTTTTGTTTAAATTTTGGGTTTTTTTTTTCAAAGCATGCAATTGCAAGATTTTGAATGCCTGTGATAATTAGGTACATAGAAGTTACAATTCCTATTTCCAGACTAAGTTGCTGATTGTAATTTGATAAAAGAAATTCCAGAAAGACAATGGTAGAGTAAGACCATTCTTCAGGGCCCGCTCCCAGTGTCATTACACACTTATTTAAAAGTAAGACAGTTTTCTTTTTATAGAATCAACTCATAACTTTGGCATTAAAATGTGGGTTTTATCATACACATAGTGTACACTGCTTCATTGCATAAATAACTGGAAGAAAAAAAAAATCATGTAGCGTGTTTGTTTTCACAGACATGGCCTTTGAGCAGCAATAACACAATTCACATTCTTCCCATTGTGGAGGTTTTGTTGGGCATTTGTAAGGAATGTCATGTTGGGTGTTTTAGCAGACAGGTAGTCTATATTAGTTTGGAAAGAAGTCCAAGGCAAACAAACATTCCACTACCCAAAATCCCTCTCTGTTCCCCGATGATAAGAATGCTAGAAACCCCACCCTGTGAGAGGAGAAATGAGAATGCTATCCCCCCACCCTACCCTGTGACAAGAAATGAGAATGCTATCTCCCACCTCACCCTGTGAGAGGAGAAATGAGAATGCTATCCCCCACCCTACCCTGTGAGAGGAGAAATGAGAATGCTATCCCCCACTTCACCCTGTGAGAGGAGAAATGAGAATGCTATCCCCCCATCCCACCCTGTGAGAGGAGAAATAAGAATGCTTTCCCCCACCCCACCCTGTGAGAGGAGAAATAAGAATGCTATCCCCCCACCCCACCCTGTGAGAGGAGAAATAAGAATGCTATCCCCCCAACCCACCCTGTGAGAGGAGAAATAAGAATGCTATCCCCCCACCCCACCCTGTGAGAGAAGAAATGAGAATGCTATCCCCCCACCCCACCCTGTGAGGGGAGATATGAGAATGCTATCCTCCCAACCCACCCTGTGAGAGGAGAAATAAGAATGCTATCTCCCCACCCCACCCTGTGAGAGGAGAAATAAGAAATCTATCCCCCTACCCCACCCTGTGAGAGGAGAAATGAGAATGCTATCCCCCTACCCCACCCTGTGAGAGGAGATATGAGAATGCTACCCCCCACCCCACCCTGTGAGAGGAGAAATAGGAATGCTATCCCCCACCCCACCCTGTGAGAGAAGACAGAAGATTGTTAGGCAAACCTCTCTTCCTCTCACCAGTAAGACTTGAAAAATGCTAAACAAGTCGTCTCAGCACAGACATGGATAAAGTATGCCTGTCCATTAAGCAGAGTACTGTGTTGTGAATAAAGGGGTTATGGACAACAATGCAAAGCAAAGATCTAACTTTGGTATTTCTTTTGCAAAAAATGATCACAAGACAAGGCTGGGGCTGACTTCTATCAGAAGATGCTGATAATTCAAAAGAAATCCCACACTTCAACAGGGGTTTGATCATGTTAAAACTAACAATTCTACCAAAGAGACAAAACTCTAAACTCTTGAGACTTAGTGAATCACAGAGACAATTGATTAAACAGACAGTCACACAGACATTGATGCGAGGCAGATCTACTGCAAGAAAAGACATCACTTCTTCAAAATATGTGATAATGAAGATTTATTAGAGTTATTTTTCCCACTAGATTTACTATTATTATGAAAATAGTTCTATTTTTGGAATTGTCTTCAAACAAAATAGATTTCAGTTCACTTCCGTTAATTTATGGTAATGACTCCTTCTGTAAGTCTTCTTGGAATGTCTTCATGTACACATTCAGGTCACAAGCATTTTGGGGTTATTAGACTTTTCTTGCATCGTTGAGATTCCAGAAATACCATTCTTCATAAACCAGAAATACCATCCTTAAATTGCTGTTGGGACAATAGAATAGACAAATACTAAGGGAACACCGATTGACCACCAAACTACATTCTCCGCTATAAGACAAACTCTTTTTTGTGGTGACCCTGATTTGAGGTTTAAATATCTTCAGGTATTTTATTCTTTATGATGTTTATACCGATTCATTCTTGGCATTCATCTAGACAATCCAGCGTAATCCTCCAGTCTTTTAAGACAAGGCTTAGATCCGATTCTTTCGGAACCTACACTTACAAAATCTGTCAATCACAAACAGATCATAGGCTTTAAATCTCTATCATCTTAAAATTTCTACATTAATTTTAATCATTTCTTTTTTTCTCCCCCCCCCCCCCCACGCAAATAGAAATGAAGAATAAATAATATATCCAAGAAATTTATGCAACATTAAAGCTCCTCTTTGAGATATTGTAAGAGCACTGTTGGTATGTGAGTTATATAACTTATATATCCTGCTATTGTCTGATTCAAAAAATAACAATTTACAGTAACCATGGTAACAGAGAGAAATTCCAACAGAACACCCCCAGAATTTCCAACCAATTAATTAAGTCATGCATTGCATGTATCTCTCTCTCTAAAAAAAATTGTGATGACTTGCTTTTTTCATTTTAAATACAATAAATGACATCTTATTAAGGCATTTTCTGCACTTTAAATTTTACATGGTAATTTCAATCCTGCGCTGCATTTACAGGAGGGTTAAATTGTGGTAATGACACAGGTCAAACTGCATAACTGACACAAAGAACTGTTACTGATGTTGAACACTAATATTTTTATTCTGCTGTTACCTGTAATATACCTGACAGTTAACAGGTGTAAATTACACACTGAACATCAACGTCTTACTGGTTTTATTAAAATTCAAGGTTTAAATACGTAAATAAGATTAAATTATGAATGTGGTCATGATCTTGATACATGCTTTAGCTTCTGATGTGTTGAGGATCATTTCATCTCCATTGTGGCTACATATTCTCTCATTTTTTTTTTCCTTGAAGTTTTTGAAGGTACATAAAAAACAAGAGCACCGCTAAGCAGAGCATCCCCTCACGCCAGGAACTTCACCGGTAATGGCAATGTCTCCATACAAGAAAAATTCTCAAAACGGACGTTAAACAAGATACACTCATCTAGGCCTAGTAATCAAGGGTATCCAGTATTACTATATAAAGTTTATAATAAGGTAAAGAAATTAAAATGTATTGTAATACTAGTTAAATTTTAACAAAAGTCAAGGTGCATACACTGTATCATGGGGAGGGGGGGGGGGGGAGGGGGGGAGGTTGGATCATAACAAGCATATGTGATTGGGCAGTTTCCCTTATTCCTAGCAGAAACATATCAC